CACGCGCCACCATGCCCAGCTAATTTTTTGTATTTTTAGTAGAGACGGGGTTTCACCATGTTGACCAGGATGGTCTCGATCACTTAACCTCGTGATCCACCCGCCTCGGCCTCCCAAAGTGCTGGGATTACAGGCTTGAGCCACCGCGCCCGGCCCAGGTTTGTCTATTTCAAGTGTTTTTACTAAGTCTAAATGGCCTTACATATCCAAGATAACTCTCAAAAGGAAGTCTGGACTAGTATCGCAATGACTATGAATATGAGGAATATGGTCCATCAGTACACCAAAGTATGTCAAGGCTGGGTCTGTATGTGAAAAATTCCTTAATTCATTGCCTGCGCAAAAACACAGGTTGCCTGCCCTACGCAAAACTTATTTTCTAAACGGGGCAAAAGCAATAAGTGTGCGCCCCCATCCCTGGCACGCGTGCATCTGAGTAGGAGGTGAGCGCACAGCAAGTGCCAGAATTTGATGAGTAATGTGCATCCGAGACAGTACCACGGCACTGCCGTGTGCGCCTGCGCAGCTTCACGAGCGCCTAGACACCGGTAGCCAAACCCCTGGCTCGAGACCTGTCTGTTCAGCTGTTGCGCCGCCGCCGTTTTGGATCTGAGCGCCCACCCGTGACACCCAGAGAACCCAGGCCTGGCAAGTAAACCCTCCACCCTCTCACTTTCCCTACCCAGAGCTCACAAGAATCACCAAGATGACGGGGCAGCGCGCACGGGCCAACCGGGAAGCTGCTCTCCACTTAGCCACACCCCTTTGGTCGCTAAAGAGCCTAGTCCCTGCCCCTCGGGTCGACGCCAGCAGCCACGTATCACGTTTGTACGAATCTCGGCCTAAAAGCGGAAGTTACGCAGGGACTCGCGAGCTCCGTGGCGGCCCTGAAAGGATACAGGCCGTGGAGGGAAGGGGGCGGGCAGACGGCATAGGAAGGCGCCGGAAGTGGTCTCGCAGAGGCGGGGTGGGAGTGGGACTGCCGAGGCAGTGCATTTGGCTGTAGCTGGGCGCCTCGGTTAGGTGTGCTGTCAGTCCTTCCCGAGTGCCTGGCCCCAGCCTCTCCCGCCTCGGCCCAACATGGACTTCAGAGAAATTCTCCTGATAGCTTCCAAGGGACAAGGTGTCAACAATGTGCCGGTAAGTAGCAACTGGGGCGTCAATGTAGGGGACCCCAGTCTTCCAAGTTCGGAATGTGTGTGGCCCATGGAACTTCTAGGTACCCGCCTATCGGTTCCGGGAGGGGAAAGACCAGGACGCCTTATTTCCTTTTTTTGGGCTTATACTCTTGGGAACTCGGGGGGGAAAAGAGCTTGAACGAGATGCGGGAGCTTTCCTGTGAATGGGTTTCGCCGGCTTATTTACCCCTGCATCAGGGACTTTGCGGTTTGGGTGTTTTAGTTAGAATCGCGTGAAAGCGGTGAGCCGTGCCTGGCACGCAGTGGATTCTAGCGCTGGTAGTTTTTGGCTTCGGCGTAAACTTCAGCCCAGAGGTTGGGAAGGAAGCATGTATGGAAGGGAGTTAGAGGCTTTGGGGTACTTGGCCTGATCATCGATCTTCAGGTCAAACATTTAGTGATTTCTTGAAAGAATTCTCTGACTCGGCCCCACCCACTCAGCCACCAAGGTGATTAAATTATCACTTCCCAGGGGATGAATATCTTTTGTTTTGGGAAGATAAGTTTAGCAGATTCCGCGAAATCCTTGGCCAGCAGAACAGGTGAGCTAGTTTCAGCTTCCGTTTACTTGTAGCCTTCCAGATTTCAGTCTTTGTGTAAAATAGGTCCTATTTGCTCAGTGGATGTTTGTCAGTTCGCTTACAGCCGCAAGAGCAGTGTAAGACTTAAATGCTAAAGTGGTGGAGAGCGCCTGGCTTCTGGAGTTGTGGCTGTTTTGCATAAGCTAATCATTTCCAGATCTTCAGATGGTACCTACAGCACAGCTGTAAACCGATGAGTTGCATTGTGATGCCTGCGGTTTGAGCAGGGAGGTGTAGAACTAAAACGCTCTCAACGTCAATTCAGCTAGAATTTATTGAGCTCCCACGAAGTGCTCTGCATTTCCTAGATTTTCGTATATTCGTTTTTTAACTCTTCTGCCGCTTTTTTTTTTTTGTCTTCTGACTCTAGTTCATTCTTTTATCCCTTTGAAAATATTTATCTGAAAAAAGTCTGTATGTTTATAAATATATGTATACGCACACACAGCCGTCCCCCATCCCAAGCGCTCTGAATAATCATTCCTCTAAGCCATGAGTTATAAGCTTTGCATGTTGAAGGTATAGACTCAAACCTTTGAAACCCAGATCAATAGATTTACTTTCATCTGTAAATTTTCCAGATGAATCAATATTGGGTCTAGTAACCATTCATCTTTGGATAATTTGGTCAATATTTCATTCTAGATCTTACTGAATTTCAGTAGAGGTCAAAGATGGTACTAACTTTGATGCCCAGGACTGTTCTATGGAAGAATCAGAACTAAGTCATTTATTCTAAAAGCCAGTAGCTGCTGGGAGAAAAGCAGACAGATATTCCTAGAGCAGAAAATTTCAAAATATGTGTATATTTTATAATATATGCATTATCTATCTATGATTGGAATAACAGAGGAATCAAAAAGGGAAAAAATTAATTTAAAATTTAATACATGGCTGGGTGCAGTGGCTCAAGCCTGTAATCCCAGCACTTCGGGAGGCCGAGGTGGGTGGATCACCTAAGGTCAGGAGTTCGAGACCAGCCTGACCAATATGATAAAACCCTGTCTCTACTAAAAATACAAAAATTAGTCAGGTGTGGTGGCATGTGCCTGTAATCCAGCTACCTGTGAGGCTGAGACAGGATAATTGTTCAAACCCAGGAGACGGAGGTTGCAGTGAGCCGGGATCCCGCCATTGCACTCCAGCCTGGGCAATGGGCAAAACTCCATCTCAAAAAAAAAGTTAATAGATAATATAGATATATATTGCATATATTTTATGTATCATGCTTTTCTCTGACCCCTCCCCACCAAAGCTAGTAAGCCCAGAAGTTTTAGTTAGCAGCATTATAATTCTTTTTTTTTTTTTTTTTTTTTTTTTT